AAAGAAGGATTTAATTTTAATTGGTCACTAAGACTATAAGAAGATTTAGAATATCCCAATTCCTAAAATATAAATTATAAATAAAATATATTCTTAAAATATATTCCTAAAATATAAATTGAATATAATAATTAAAAATATTATGTAATAAATGAAGTATACCTGAATTGGTGTAAAATGAATCATGTTATATCCAGAATTTTTAGCGACTAGTAATTTATCTTCCCAGGTAGAAAATGATCCTAAACATTTTGCAAGAACAGTTTGACATTGAATACAATCTAATGGTAAATCATTTCCATATTCCCCTATTTTAAGTTCTGGATCTACAAGGAGATATCCAGAAGCAATAGGCTTCATACCTTCAGAACTAAGAATTTAATATTAATTTAAGATTATGAACAGATGAAATTTTTTTATATTTAATACTTACTTAGGATCTATAAGATAATAATGAAATGAACCAGCTAGAGATAAACATATATTAGCTGTTTCATTAATCCATTCTAAGAGATAATATGTATGTCTTTCAAATTTTTTATTTTCTCCTAAAGGATAATTTATAAAAAGATCAACAGTTCTCCCAAGAAGAGAAGCGCCTAAACGAAATTCTACTCTCCATCCTGTTAAAAATTATTTTAATTCTTAAAAAATTATTTAAATTTAGTTTTATTAATATTGTAAATAATATAAAATTTACATACCTTTCTTTAATCTATATAATATACCATCAAGATGTTCTCCATTATTTAGAGTTAAGACTCTTATTTGTTCAGATTCGTAATTTTCAGTTGATGACATGTGTTCTGACATATTTTTAACCACTGCCTAAAGACACAAACACTTATTTTTTAAAACAATATTATTAAATCTTCAAAATTATTTTTTTTCAATTGTTTCCAATATTCACAATTGCTACTTCTAATTAATAATTAATTTATATAATTATAATTATACTTTTTTTAATTATAAACATTTTTGATTTTAAATTAAAAAATTAAATAAGATACATATATAGATATAAAAATAATTATTCAAAAAAAAAATATAATAGATCAATAATAAATTAATGAAAAATTTACAAATTATATATCTATAACATTTTTTAGAATAAAAATCTTTTCTCAAGATAGTAGTACTTACACATCAAATATGGTAAATGGATAAACACTTAGCTCACGAGTCCCTTAATATAAGTTATCAGCACAAAGCAGTTAGCAAGCGTGCAAAAAGCATAATATTATATTACAAAGTTATGCTGTATGAACATGCATAAAGCCTAGAGATATTTTCATTCTATATGCTTAGATTACCTCTTTGTAACAATATAAATATAGGATAGACTTCATACTACATAACATCAATTATATTATGTATATATTTATACTATTTTTTTATCTATCTACTACTACTATTATAAATTTTTATAAATTTAATAGAAGTGTTATTATTAACTATTTTTAATAATTCAATACTATTTTAATATTGAAATATTAGCTTGAATATAATCATTTGATATGTAATAAAATACCTCCTTTGATTAGAATGTATAGTTATATTATAACTGTTTATATAATTATATTATCTAAATGTTATATAAAGACATTAAAATGATATATTATTAACTCTAATTACATTTATTAATAATATAATAATATAAATACAAAAGGTTATTACATTATGATCATTACATCTAAACTTACATAATAATAAAGGCACTTTAAATAATGACATTTGTAAAGGCATTGGAAAATAGTCCTAAGTTTCCTTATCAATCTCCTTGTTGCATCGGAAAAGAAATAGCCTATTGTAAGTATGGAACCCATTCTCAAAATAAATCATATAGTTGAAATTATTATTAAAGGCAATGATTTTTTTCAATTAGCATTATGTTATTATAGCTATATGTTGCTTTTATTTAAGCAAATACTACTTTATGTTGTATTACCTACAAATAAATAAGGAAAAGATTAAATACAAAAAAATACTATTATTTTTAATATAATCAATTTTTTAAAAAGAAACAAGAATAATCTTCTTATTATCATGCTTATTATTTTATATATTATATTAAAATAAAATAAAATAAATACTTAAAAAATTATTTTATTTTTTATATTATATATCATATATAATATATTTTTGAATTAATTTGATTAAATAAAATAATTTTTTAATATAAATAAAATAATTTTTTAATATATATAAAATTTAACTTATATATATAAATATTATAATAATAGCATCTAAATAATTAAAAAATAAAGTACCTTATATGTAAAATAATATTTTAAAATATTTAAAAGTATTTATTATTGTTATTGCTTACATTTTTTAAAAATATTAAACAATATTTTTATAAAAAAGATATAAAGTTGTCAAAGTTACAATAGACATAACAATATAAAAATAATATAATTTTTATATAAAATTATAAAAATTATATACAAATACACAATTACAAATAATTATTAAAATTTAAATGTTTACATGTATATATAAATATAGTATATAACGGGTTAATAAAGATGAATAAAATCACAATTAATATTTCATATAATTAGAACATGCAGTATAAAAATTTATAACATTTTAGAAAACATTATTATTTTTTTTTGAAAATACTAGTTTTCTCAGTTTTCATACCTGACTATTCTGCAAACGCGTATTTTTCAAGAAATATATATTAAATTCTTATTCAAAAATAATGAAATAATAAATTAGTAAAATATAAAATATAAAACAAATTGCAATGTATTTTTTAATAAAAATAATTTAATACAATTCACTATATAATATATTAATAAAAATTGAGAATAATATCTTTTGTTTAAATATGACCTCTATTTTACAAAGACAAACTTTGAAGGTCGTAAAAACAAGAGTATGATTCAAGTCAAAGCGACAAAATCAGGCGACAGGTTGTAGAAATTCAAACATGTTGATTGGATAATAATCCATAATTTTCTTATTGAAAAGTTAATTTATAATTTTATTATATCTATATTTGCCTACATAATTATATATATAAATATTTGATATATAATAAAACTTTATTTAAATAATTAGCTTTATATGTAATTAAATTTTTAGGCTAATATTTATACAGTTACATATTATTGTAATCGCTACATGAAAATTTGCTAACAAATAGTGACGACAACAAACTATTCTATATATTTTATATGTATATATCTCATATATTTCTAACAATCTTATATTTGCTCACAAGATTATTTTCCCGCGCAAAAATGACCAATAAATCGAAAACAAAGAATATTTTGAGAGAAGATTTTTTAAATCTTTATGATATTTTTGATTGAAGCCATTTTCAAAAAATCTGTAGCCTAAAGAAACAATCAATATCAATAATAACATTTTTATGATTTTTATTAAAAAATTAATTATGTTAATATAATATTATATACATATATTAAATATCACTTGATTAGTTTCAAATATTAATATTTTTGAATATTTTTAAATATTCTTTTATATATTTTTATATATTTTTCTCTATATAAATTCTAAAATGTTATTTATTATTCATTATTTATTTATTAATCATTATTTCTATCAATATTTCTGTAATATAAAATTAAGTGTATCAAATATAAATAATCAAGCATAATCATAATAATAAACAATAAACTTTTTATAATAAAATTTGATTGCATTTTGGATATATATATATATATTTAATTGGATATATTTCATATTTAAATATTTTTATATTAACTTTTAATCATAAATTTCATTTCAAAACACTTTTGTATTCTTTAGACAATATAATTTAAAAAAAATAATTAAATTTCTGAATGGACATGTAATATTTTTCATATAATAAAATTAATGTTATAATATATCAGTATTTATCTGATGAAAAATTATTATATTATATATATATATAATATATAATATAATATATAATATATATTATATTATCACATATCATATTATAAATATATTATCAAATGAACAATTCGTAAATTACTATTGATACTATCTTCTAATATTTTATTGTTTTACAATCATATTTAATTTTAAATTAGATTTAATTTTAAATTAAAATTTTTTAATTTAAAATTTTAAAATTTTAATTTCAAATTTTAATTCGTATTCATTTTATGACGACTTAACACATGATTTAATTTGAATTGAGTTTAAATAATGATTTAAATTTTTTATCTAAAAGATGATTTGAATATCATGCTTCTTATTATTTCTTTTTATTGAATTAGATAAAAATCAAACACGATTTCACAGCTTGCAAAAATCTTTATAAAATGAAAAATTTTAAATTTCGATAATTAACATTGTTGTTTTTACTTTATACGTTAAAATCCATAAAAACATTTTAAAAAAATTAAAAATTTTATTACTTCAAACTAAACTAAGTAAGCAATTAATATGTAATAAAATAATTTTAATTTTTTAGATTATAAGAAAACTGCATTTAAAATTGTGAATTTAACTTTACATCTCTTATATTTTGACTATGTGATTTTGTTTACATCCGATAATTCAACATTCAACTATAAACGATATATAATTATATAGTTTTAGATTTATATAAATAATCGTGTGTATAGTATACACGTGTTGGAGCCAATTTAAATAATAAAGTTTAAGTAAAGTTAATTCAATATAATATATATTTTTTTACAATTTTAAACAAATTTTTAACATGAAATAATTATTAAAATTAATTATAAACTTTGATATAAACTCTATTTTTTCTTTTTTATAGGTTATATTGTTATATTAAGAAATCTTAAATATCAAATTTTATTATTAAGAAATCTTATATATCAAATTTTTAATTTTGTTCCGCTAATTAATTTATTTTTTAATTTAATTTATTATTTATTATTAATTATTATAAATTTTAAAATTTTATTGTTTAAAATTGCAAAAAATTTTTATCATTAATAAAAATAAATTAAAAGTCATTTGTTAATTTCTTAATTTTATATTTTTCACTTTTAGAAATTTACAAAATGACAACACGAAAATTGAAAATTAATAGCAAACCAAAATTACAAAAAAATAAAAGAAAAATTAATAATGATAATATAAATAGCAATATAAAAAAGATTAAAAGTAATGAATTTGAAATTCAAAAAACAGAAGAAAAATACAAAAAAACTTTGACAAAAAATGACAAAGAAAACCATAATAGAAATATAAATGATAAATTTGATATAATAAATAAAAACTCTATAGAAAAACCTAATTGGATGGAATTTAAGAAACAAAAAAAAGAACTTAAAGAAAAATATAAAGCAAAACGTCTCAATGATATTTATAATATAACAATTACAGCAAAGCAATTTAGTGAAAAGTTTCGTAGATCTGATTGTTCAAAATTAGAACGTAAAAAGTTAATTTTAAAAACACATAATATATTAAAAAATAATTATAATAGAATAATACTTACACATGATATGTCTCGAATTATTCAGTGGATACTTAAATATTGCGATACAAAGATTCGACAAGCTATTTTTCAAGAATTAAAACCATCAATTTCGTCTATGATTAAATCAAAATATGCAAAAAATTGTATTAAAACAATGTTAAAATATGGATCTCAGCAGATTAGACATGAAATTATTTCTGTTTTTTATGGTAATGTAATAAGATTCATGTGTCATTCTGTATCTGCATCATTATTAGAACTCATTTATTCAACATGGGCAACAGAAATAGAAAAAATATATTTTAAACAGGAATTTTATGGTGATATGTATAAACAAGCTAAAGATAAAGAAATTAAAACAGTATCTGATACATATAAAATTGCAGGAGATATGAAAACAGCAACATTATCTGCAGTAAAAGGAAATTTAATGAAAATATTAAATAAGAAATTTTTAAATTCCACTTTATTGCATTGTGTTCTTTTAGAATTCTTAAATGATTGTTCTATTGAAGATAGAACAGAAGTGATAACTATGTTAAAAAATTCAATAGTGGAATTATCTCAAACAAAATTTGGTTCAAAAGTTGCTGCAATATGTATATGGCATGGTACAAATAAAGATAGAAAAATTATTATGAAAGCTTTAAAAGGGAATATAAAAACTATTTCGATGTCTGAACATGGATATTTAATACTATTAGCATTATTTGATTCAGTAGATGATACTGTTTTAATCAAAAAAATTATATTCTCAGAAATACAAAATGATTTGATAGATATAGCATTAAATGATTACGGAAAGCATGTAATTTTATATTTAATAGCTAGAAGAAATTCCCATTATTTTGCTCCCAGTATAGTAAAATATTTGGAGCAAGGAGATAACAATACAATAAGTAAAAAACCAGCTAATATAAGAGAAAAAGAACTTTTATATTCAATTTCTGATTCACTTCTAGAATCTGTAATTACAAATACCTCAATTTGGATGTCTAATAGTTCTATTGCAATGGTAACATTAGCAATATTGAAAATAGGTATTGGAGAAAAATTAAAAAAAGCCTTTGAAGCTGTTGCTATATTTATTTCAGACTCAAAATCAAAAATCAAAGAAGGAGATGAAGAATATAAACCAATTGAACATACAGGTTTACATATGATGCTAAAAAAACTTATACAAAATGATAAAGAATTACAAAAAAAAAATGAATGTACATTTGGAGAAATATTAATTAATTATTTAAAAACAAATATTGTAGAAAAATGGATAGAATGCAATAGAGGATGTTTTTTATTAATATTATTACTAGAAAATGAAACAATATCTGTTGTAAATATTCTACTTTTTAAATTAAAACCAATGATAAATATTTTGAAATCAAAACAAAATCCAGGTGCTAAAATTTTATTAGAAAAATTAAAATAAATTAAAATGTTAAATCTTTTTTTAAATAGAAATTATAAGGATTTTTTTTTGTTAAAAAAACTACTATTTACTACTATTACTATTTTATTATTTATATATGTAATATATGTAGCGAAAGAAAAAGATATTCATATATTTTTAAAACGAAATAACTTTTTTAAAATTGGAGTAAATGACTTGAATTTTTTTTAAATATTCGAATAATTAATTTACTTATGTAATATGTAAAAAAATATTCATATTTTTTAAAAAATTGATATTGATTTTGAAGAAAAAAAAATCATGATTTGAATCTATAATAAAAATTTAAAAAATGTTTTTTATAGATCTAAGAAGTTATCATTCATCAATTATATTCACAAAGTTTCACCAAAATCGAAAACAATCAAAAATGCTAAAGTTTACAATTTTTCACGACTTTCGGCTTATAATTATTTAATTATTTATATAATATTCGGCTTATAATATTGTAATATGAAAATTTTCATATCTTTCGATCTATAGCTTCAATTTCGATGAAATTTTGTGTACATATATGATTTTCAATAAAAAATATGTTTTAAAATTTCATTACATTTACATTACATTATTTTTACTCAAATAAAAAAATTGAAAATCAAAATTTTTACTTTTTTTTCAAAATTCCGACCAATAATTAATTTAAAAATAATTAAAAAAATTTTTTTTAAACATTATAAGAATTAATTAAATATTATTTTTTTTTAATATACTAAAAAGATTTAAATCATTTATTCCAATTTTAAAAAAAATAATTCCATTTTAAATGATATATGAATACTTATATTTTATTTATAATACAAATACTTACAATTTATTCAATTAAATTTTTTGCTCTTTTTCATCTTTTAAATTTATTAATATCTATAAATAATTGTATAAAAATGATATAAAATATGATAAATTATGAAAAATATGATAATGTATATTATTATAACATGTAATGTATATTATTATTATTATTATTATTAAATATATTCAAAATAATTTTATTATACTTACCTATACTTATGAAAGCATACAAATACGTGTTTGAAATGCAAATTTATTAATTTAGAAAGTTTAAAATAAAATTAATGTAATATTTAGAAAGTGTTAAATTATTCTAGCATTATAAAATTAAAATATTTATAAATTCATATAAATTTCTGTTTTTTATATGACATGTAAAATTAAAAATTAAGAAATATCGATTAAATGATGTATTACTATAAAATTGTTTTAGCTACATTTATAATAAGTATAAAGTATTATTAAGGAAATATGTATTAGCGGATACTATATATTTTAATTATTATTTTAAAATGATTGAACACAAAGTTACTAATTTAGCCATATGTAACATTAATTAGGAAATACTAACATTTATTATCTTCATATTTTAAGCATTTCTTTGATATCAATAATTCTGGTTCGAATTTCTGGTTCATTATCCTTTGTTAATTCCGGTAAAGTTTCTTGTATTATTAAAATCATTTTATCAAATTTTTCATTATTTTTAGCATAACGTAATTTTCTACCAAGAGATAAAGCTATATTTAAAGCTTCTTTTCTTATTCTGGTATAAGAAATACCTATAAAGAATATAGAAGAAATTCATTAATTTTACAATTTTATAAAATATATACTTTTAATTATATTTAAATATACAATATGCTTACCCATACTATATTTTAATATTTTATTAAATGTATCACAAATTAAATCTAACATTGTTTTGTCTTCGATTGACAAATCCGAAATATTTATTTTTAGTAAGGCAAGTTTATCCACAAATAAATTAAGTGATGATAGCATTGATATTTGTATAGTTGTGGATTGAACAGGAAGCATTTTATCATAATGAGTTATAAATTCTACGCAATATTTGTCTAACAAGAGATTAAATAATAAAAATAAATAAGTTTGATATTTAATTTGATATTAATTTTTACGCATCAATAATTTACCTTGAGTTTCTTTATATAGTGGCCAAGCTTTTCCAAGTATTTCATAAACAGTTTCATATAATTTTATAACATCATTTCTTTTTATTTTCTCCTCAGAAACTAAAGATTCATCTGCATCTTTTCTTGCCAGCTAAATTGTACAATATTCATATATCAAAATGTATGATTTATCATTTTATTTTTATTATTAATACATACCATTGTCCAAATTTCTTGAACGATTTCATATACTTCTTTAAATTTATCAATATTTAATTCGTGTAAAATCGTACCAAATGCACATAAAGCGTGTCGACGATATTCTAAAGCCTCTTTTTTACTTTCCCTATATAATATTTGTACTATATCCATAGACATTTCAGAATTTTCTTTAAGAGCTGTTCTATAATTATAATATCAATTTTTAAAAGTGAATAATAAATATTGTTTTTAAAAAATATATATAAAATTTATAATATTTTTACATACTTGCTATTACATGTTAATGTAGCAAGAGCATTTAATAATCGATCTTTTCCATCCCAAGTTCTACCACGTAAACCATCCATTAATACCTTTAATAAAATATCTCTTATAGTTGCATCAATATTGCTACCTAATTTTTCGGCTAATGTATGAATCGCATTAGCCGCTTGAGCTTTCGTATTCCATGATGATGATTCTAATGATGTGCGTAAAATATTTGTTATTGATTCTATGTTTTGTCTAATTCCGGTTTCTGTTCCTGGAGTTATTTCATTCCACAATTCGGTCCATAAGTCGATAAGATTTTCATTTTCTATGAAAATAATGCAGATGAATATTATATTTACAAATTTAACTTCAAAATACGAACCTTGTGCTTTTTGTTCATGCATTGCAAAAAAAGTAAGAGGTATAACAATATTCGAAAAATTTCTTAATATTTCCTGATTATAATTATTTATAGCTTGTAATGTTTGACCAATTGCTAATTTAGTTGAATCATCTGAAATTAAGAATCAAATAAAATTTTATTCTTCTTTTTTTTTTAAGTTATAAATACAATCTTTAAAAAAAATTATTATGTGCACCTCGTTCCATATACCATGTATTAAGCATTTTAAATAATTTTTCAAGACTTGATTCTTTTGCTGATCCCACTATATGTCCAATAGCAATTGCGTTATTTTTCCTAACGACAGAATTACGATCCAATAATCCATTCATTAGCGCATTTAAAAGTTTACCTACATAAATATTAAATTATAATAATTTGTAGAAATATTTTTTTAAGATAATTATAATATTAATATTTTTTACTAACCACTATAAGATTGTAATTCTTGTTTAAAATGAGTACTTAAAAGAATAATAAAATGCAAACATGTAATTTTTGTTCCAAAACCGATGCTAGATTTCATTAATTCTATTATCTTTGGCATTAATTCTTTTAAAATCTCTGCATCAATATATTGTATGCACTACATTAAAGGGAAATATAATAATTAATAAAATTCTTTTTTAAAGTTATATCTATTTATATTAAATAACTCACTTTTGTCATTGTTTCAGTAGCATAATGTTCTTTAGCAGCGCTAGCTCTAATGTTATCAATAGCATCTCGCGCCTCCGACATTGTTCCACATACGTTACTCAAATATGATAAATTTGGATTTTCTGATTCACCAATTGTACTTAAAAGAGCAGGAATTAATATAACTAAAGACGGTTTAAGCAAAACACCTGCTCTCGAAACTAATTGAGATATAGTTTGTAAAGATACTATTCTTACGCTGCTTACAACGTTAACAACTCCAATATCTAATAACACAGGTAAAATTGCTTGTAGAACTTCTTCTCCTTCTTTGCCATAAGAAGAATCACAGTATCGAACGCAAACCTGTATTTTATTGAAAAATATAATTATTAAAATTTAATGTAATAGATAAATATTTTCAATATAAAACTTACTTTACTTAATGCTTTAGTTGTATTTGTGGCTGCTAATCTAGTGCCTTCGTGAATATCATCCATTACTCGAAACAATGTCTTCAATAATTCTGGAGCACATTTCGCCAAATTTAAACGAACGTTTACTCTTAATAAATCTGCAAGTGCATTGCAACAACTGATTCGCACTCGCCATTCATAATTTGTTAAATTATCAGCTATATCACTTAAAATTTCTTTATGATATTGTTCAATCTATTAAAATATGAAATATAATTTTAAAAAAAAAATCAAAAATGCATTTTAACTTACATATTACTTACAGCTTTGCTTGTTGATGGAACAATTGCTCGCCAAATACTAGACATACTGTGCTGAATCTTGGGAGTGGGATCAAATTGATATCTGTATAAACGTGGAATTATGTTGGGTAAATATTTATTTAACTCTTCATTTGCTATTTCAGCAATTGCTGCAAATCCAAATGCAGCACCTTTTTTAGATGTCCATACTGCATTATGATTCGCTAAATGCATGAAATAATATACCAAATCGGGTTTTTGTAATTCTGTAGCTAAAGAACAAATTTCTCTATATGTAGATAAATTACCACTGTAAATAAAATATTATTTGTAAAATTAATATTGTAAAATATTGTAAAAAAATATTGTAAAATATTGTAAATACATAATAATATCTAAATTTTTAATTGTCATTTTACCTTGTTGGAGATTTTCCTAATTGACCTTCTTCAAATAATTTTGTATCAAGAGTAACTTGTTGTACAGTTTTACGTCCCTGTGTAAATTGATCTAATATATTAGAAACAAAAAATTCCTTTTGTTCTTTATTACTATTAATATGTATCAAACTAAGACCTTTTGCTGCCATATCTTGTACTATATCTATAATAATATATTTTTTTAATAAAAATCTAAATTTTTTTTATAAATAGCAAATATATATAACTTACCACTATCATCTGAAAGAAAATCCATAAATGCATAATGTAATGACGAAAATTTTTCTTTAATACACTCTCTTTGGATATTATATTTTAGAAGTGCTAATAACCATACACAGACAGCCTTTATAAAAAATATTTGTAATAAAAAAATGAAA